CAAATAAAGCCCCATTTTAAACTGGCTACATTTAGTATAATACATGTACCTATTGACTACCCTTTCATTGAATATTACCTTTGCAGACGCACTTAAACAACATTAACAACTTACATATACCAAAACATAATGGGGGAGGAATCTGAAAAAACTTATAATTATTTCGCTTGAAGGAGATATAGAAGACAAGAATTTCTCGCCATGAGAAAACTCGCTGAGGCGATACATCGCCAGAACGATATATCGCAATGAATCATTCCTGATTCAGTGATAAATCGCTGGAACGATATTTCACTGAAGCGATATATCTTGATGATGTTCTGCACGCTCTACGATATATCGTTTTAGCGATATACCGCCGGAGGGATATATCGTTGAAACGATTTATCGTCGGAACGAGATATTGCAGGAGAGCTCCGATATCTCGTCGATTTATCGTTCTCAAGGTGTCAAGGAAATGAACGATATATCGGTGATATATCGGAAGAACAAAGCGCGATAAACAACGATAATCGTTTGCATTACTTTTGCACAGTACTATAGGAATAATGTGTGTCAAGTTTTGGTTTTGGCTCCCCTCTTAATACTTAGGCTTCTCTATGCGGTCGAATTTTCGTGTTATCAAATTCACAATTGAGGAAATATAGTAGAAGTAGAGACCAGGGAGCATATGGGAAAACCGAATTGGGTATGAGATCCGCCAGCGTTTCTTCTGCAAACCATCTAAAAATGGCTTAAATCGCAAAAGAGAAAACCTCTAAGCCCTTCTTTAATAAAGGGAGTAAGTTTCCCAAATAAACTGTGGTGCTGCGTCAGATTCTCAACACGAATATCTTCTAGGACTTCTTGTCAAAGGAAAGTAAAGGTAATATGTCGAGCTCAGAAAAACAATATTCGCAAGTTTCATGAGGAGATGACTCAGAGTGTTTGTCTAGCGCCTCGGAGGGTAGTTTTGTATCGGCAATAAGGGTTTTGCACCATACGAAGAAAGTGTCGAACCGGCAGCAAACGAAGGAGAAGCTGGGCAATACGCGATGTAAGTCGCTGTAGAGGAAGAAGAAGAAGAAGAAGATCTTCTCCGAAGATTCTTTGGTGAAGTCGACGTCAGAGAATGGTTTGTAGCTAGGCTTTTTCTATTGTATAATTTTTTTGTATTTATTCGGAAACGCGCAATTCTAATCACCTATATGGACCTCATTTACATTTACAGATTTTTTGCGATCTGTGGCCTACAGACAATTTGTACGTATAGCTTGGGCATATGTTGGCATGTCAAACAGATTTCCTCTTCCTTGCTATGTGTACAGTGTAATGAGATCTGCCTTTCCCATAGCTGAAGATCAGTATCATAGTTATGAGGAAGAAGATGAGGATGAATTATAATGTAGTGAAGTATAAACACTTCATTATTTTCAATGAACGGATGACGTTACTCGTTTCAACCTTCCAAACGGATGATAAAAGTTGTTTTACGGGAAAATTGTGAGGTTCCAACAAACATTGTCATTCAAAGAATAGGTTTCACAATATTTATGTCCTTACTGTTTACTTGATGTTGTCGCGTTTGGAAAAAGTTTACAGAAAGTCTATATGTATATAATCATGTATTAAATAGCAAAAATAATTTTATCACCTGAAAACTGTTGTTTGTTTTCTAATCAGGTGCTCAAATGCAACAATAACGCTCATTAATTTTTCATAACACAGTTGAGTGTAGTTTTATAGTTCCACATTGCATAAAATCAAAGCCATACAATAACCAGGCATGATAGTTGACTTCTGAAACAGGTTCATATCCAGTGATTCAAGTTGTAGCTCTCACTCCTGACAGGAGATAAACAAGAAAGTTTTCATTTCAGAGAAACCTGTTTATTCCCCAGGGCCTGGTTGTTCAAAGATTGGATAACGTTATCCACCCGATAAATCATTATCCAGCATATGTGTGTTTTCCTTTCGCGAGTAACAGCAGTTGCAGCAGGCTGAACATTGCCTGTAGCCCTGCATCATAAATTAGGGAAAAAAAACAGTTTCATGGACTGATTGATCATTTGAATGACTGATTGTTTCATTATTTGATTGATTGATTCATTTATTTGTTTACATTTGTTTACTC